TTTATTTTTTTAGTCAATAACTACTTTTGAGCCACTCCCTTCTATGAACCAACCATGGCTCTAGATGCTGGGCATGACAGAGAGAGAAACAGAGACAGAGAGAGAAAGACCCAGTTCCCTATCACAAGAAGCATGGTCTAACACCGTAGAAGGCAAGTTGACAATTAGAAAACAATAGGATCTATGCTGAACAAAGTATTGAGACGGGTACCCTACCCGGGTGGCTCAGTTTATTAGAGCATCGTCCCATACACCAAAAGGTTGCAGGTTTGATTCCCGGTCAGGGCACATAGATCTAGGTTGAGGGTTTGATTCCCAGTTGGGGCATGTACAGGAGGCAGTCAACCAATAGATGTTTCTCTCTTTCCGCCTTCCTCTCTAAAATCAATAAAAACATATCCTTGGGCAAGAATTTAAAAAAAAAACAAAAACTTCCCTTAAAAAAAAATGAGAAAGGTGCTGCAAACATACATAGGAGGAAGCATTCAGAGCTCCCTCAGTCCTGGCGAGGGAGAGGGGCTGTCAGGCAAGGCTACAAACATGAGCCAACACTTACATTAAGGTACCGTACCATCACACACACACACACACACACACACACACACACCCTCTGAAAAAGTGTCAGAGGAGGAGGAAATTCTTTGCCCAAGGGCAAACAGCAAGAAAAAAGAAGCTGGAAGCAATCCAGGCTCTTGTCATTCAGCTCAAGGAGATAGCTTGGCTGAAATATATCATCACATAATATTTACACCTTTCCCCACCTGAGTGTGGGCTACATGCTCTTCAAAGCAAATTAAACATCTCCTTCCTGTCCTCTAAAAGTCTAAAACTTCAAAATAGGCAAACTAACATAAGAACTTTGATGACAAACTATCCCCAGATGGTAGTGTTCTCAACAATTCTGAAGTTCAGTTTGGTCCCCAAGGTGAGGATGTTAATAGATTTTGCCCTTCTTTTCGGAGATGTCAAACACCAGGGAGGAATATTAAAACTGCATGGATTGGGTTCTCAAAAAATTAAAAATAGAATTACCATATGATCCAGCAATATACTGGAGTATATACCCCAAAGAAGTGAAAGCAGGGTATTAAAGAGATATTGGTATACCCATCTTTATAGCAGCATTACTCATAATAGCCACAGTGTGTCTGCCAATGGATGAATGGATAAACAACAAAATAAGGTATGTGCAGTGTGCATAGGAATTTGTTCATAGTTTTTTTTAAAACTATAGTCCGGCCCTCCAACGGTCTGAGGGACAGTGAACTGGCCCCCTGTTTAAAAAGTTTGAGGACCCCTGGTCTAATGGGTACAGAATTTGAGTTTTGGAAGAGGTTCCAGAGATGGATGATGATGATGGCTATACAACAACGTGCATGAATTTATGCCACTGAACACTTAAAAATAATGAATATGGCAAATTTTTGTTATATATTTATCATAACTTAAAACAATAAAAATTTTTAAACTTCATGGTTGCCATGCCCATTAAATAACTGTTCTTGGTCATCTAGGGGCAAATGAAAATACCTTGTTTCTGACATTAAATGCAATGCCATATGAAGAGTGGATGTGAGCATGAGACCAGACACATTAGAAAGCTCTTAATCCAAAAGAGCAGCGTCCAGGTACCATTCTCTGGAAATGGACACCTACATAACCCACTAAGAAGGTGGCTTTGTTGGCAACCGTCATCTGACAATTTTTAATGAAGATAATCCCCACGTACCAGCACCACCCTATTAGGGGATGACTGCCAAAGTACACATTCCAAAAATTACTAATTGAACTTCTATTTGTAAAAGCATTAGGCAGAGCTTTATGTAAGGCTCACAACTAATATTCATAAGTCAGTTTGTGCCTTTGAGAGCCATCTGGTTGAGCAAATAATAGATGAACACAAGAAAAGTTAAATAATAATCAGGAAAGAAGTCTATGATAATGTTCAGTTAAGTAGAACATGTATAGCCCTTTAACACATTTGGAGAAGGGAGAGATTACTGGGGCTGGAGTGTTCCAGGAAGATTGATAGAAACCACTCCAACTCTGAAAGAAATGTTCAGGACTCAGTAAGTGGAAGCAGACAAACCTGGTTCAAGTAGAGGGTTTATGATGGAAAGGAGGAAAAGACAGGGTAGAAAAAGAGATAGGAGCCAGATTATGATGGCTCTTAAAAGTCAACTTTATGACTTTGGATTTCCATCTCTACCCGGAGGGAAACCAACAGAGGCTGAGAAGGGATGTTATATGATATACACAGTGTTCCAGTACAAGATGGCTTTGGAGAAGAAAACCCTTCATGGACAAAAAGGCCACCTAAGTTTATAGCTGAGGGCTACTAAGTCTCAAAAATGAAAACAAACATGTGCTTTGGCGAGGTTAAAACTATGACTTTGAAATGTGTCAGGCCATATGCTGACATCTGCGTTGAATTTTTCTTGAAGGACGTGCAGGAAACTGTGGACATTGGTAACTTCTTAGGAGTCGGGTGGAGGTGGGGGAAGGAAGACTTACTTTTCATTTTATATCCTTGTACATGGATACACTTAATCATGTGCAAGAATTCATTTTATAATTTAAGAAGTTTTTAAAAATATGACAACTGAAAGTGTTAAATAGTGTTTGGGCTCTAACCAGCAAATTCAAAACATTTCTAATTATAAGTGAAATATAGTTCAACCTTATTTGTAATATATCTTAATCTCTGTCACGTAGTGAGATGTTGTGAGAATGACCTAAAAGTAACAGTACAGAGCACATAGAACTAACTGCACATCTAAGACTTTACTTCAAAACAAACATGTTCTGAGTCACCCACAATAAAATGCCTCCTTTTGGGTGTATTTAAATGAAAAATCTGCCTGAGTCTATTTCAAATCGACCCCTCAATGAAAAAAAAAAAATCAGAAATAATATCCCATAGTACCTTTGACAAGACATATTCCTGGCTCAGTTAAATGGCTTTTTCATTCTTTTAGTCGCTCAGACCAAAACCAATTGGGTCATCTTTGACTTATCCTTTTTCTCTCATGCTCTATATCAGGGGTCCTCAAACTTTTTAAACAGGGGGCCAGTTCACTGTCCCTCAGACCGTTGGAGGGCCGGACTATAGTTTAAAAAAAACAAACTATGAACAAATTCCTATGCACACTGCACATATCTTATTTTGAAGTAAAAAAACAAAACGGGAACAAATACAATATTTGTATTTGCATGTGGCCCGTGGGCCGTAGTTTGAGGACCCCTGCTCTATATCCTTATCCCATCAACTCTACCTTAAAAAATCTAACCAGAAGCCAGCTGCATCTCACCACCCCACCACCAGCAGCCTGGTCCATCATCTCTAACCTGGACCACTAAAGTAGCTTTCATTCCACTCCCTGCTTCCACCCTTGTCTCCTCCGGTCAATCTTCCACAGGTCAGTCAGAAAGATCCTCATAAAATACAAATCTGAACAAGTCCCTCCCCTGCCCACAACTTCCAGTGGCTTCCTATTGCATGGCTAAAACCCAAAGTCCTTGCAAGGCTGCAAGGCTGCATGATCCAGACCCCATTTCCTCTCCAACATCAACTCCTGCACTCCCCACTTCTCCCCTCACTTGAGTCACACTGGCTTCCTGACCACTCCTGGGACAGAGCAGTGGCCCAGCCTCAGGGCCTAGGAACTCAACCTGAATCTCTTCTCCAAACATCCCTCTCCCCCACGCCCCTTGCTTCATGTGGGTCTCTGCTTGTGTGAAAACTTATCAGAGAGGCTCTTCCCATCAATCCTACTACCTCAAATAGTAGAACTACCTCTCCTTCACTTCACACTGCTTTATTTTTCTTTATATCACCTGAAATAATGTTACATAGGCACGTGTTTGTTGTTGTTTAGTACCTGTCTCCTCAACTAGAACATGAGCTCCATGATGTCAGACTTGCTTTTTTGTCGTGTACACTGGGCCCAGACTATGTCTGGCAAATAAATGAGAGTTTAATAAATAGTTGTTGAAGACTAAAGTAAGTACAAATCAAGGTAATCAAGATCATGAGACAAAAAGAGATTTTTAAAGCCCATAATGAGACATGAGCATAACAATGCCCAGTAAATTTGGGATAAGGTCATGAAAAGCTGAAACATCATTGACAGGTATACACCCATCATTTATCTGTGGCACTCTGGGAATCCATGTGCATGCTTGTCATTAATTCACTGCTTTGAGACATCATCTGTGTACATTCTGGAGGGCCATTCTTGAAGTTTTGAGGCTAAAGAGTAAATACTGTAACACGTTTCTCCTCCCTCTTTCCAGAACCAATGAACTCAGACTGAAAGTTCTGCTGAAGCAAGCAAGCACTGTCCCAACCAGGAAGCCTAGAATATTCAGTTACTCTATTGAGGAGATCTGGACAAAGCCCCAGCCTTGGAATTAGGAAACTGGGTCAAAGTCAGGTTCTGCCCTCATCTACCAGAGGGACCTTGGGATAATCATTATACATTTCCAATCCTGTTTCCTAGACTATAAAGTAGGAATGATGAGATCTTTCTTGCTTTTTCATGTGGGCATTATAAAGTAAAATAAGATACGCATATACAAAGGCATCCTGAAAACGGAGTGGACTATACATCACCTTGTGCTAGCCAATTTCTAGTTCTCATGTCCTTCACTGCCACTGGTGAAGTTTGTTTAAACAAGGGTCTGACAAGGTCTTGCCTCTGCTCAGCCTTCATTGATTTAAACTTGAACTTTCAATGTTCTTCACAGACTGAACCAGATGATCTTTCCAGTCACATCTCCAGCCCCTTCCTAGGCTAAACCTTTCATAGACACATGGGGCCTACTCCTCACTCCCTAATCTAATCATGCTCTAGTCTAGTGCATGTCTGTTCGGGGCTAAATGCCTCAGACCTCATCCCCGTCCATCCTCCCTTCTTCCATTAGAAAACCCTAGAACTGGAAAGGCCTGAGAGAGTCTTTTGAAAAACATTCAAAAAGAGCAAACATTGGGCACCTACTGTGTGTAGTACGCTGTTCTGTGCTGAGGACACAGAAAGGAATCAGATAGAGACCTGCCGGTCTGGTGACTTATAACTCAGAGTCAGTATTATAAAAGGCCTCTTCTTACTCTTTCACCCTGAGAAAATATGATGGAAGGTAAAATTAACTGACCACTCCTAGGGGGCTTCTGGACACAGGTAGGAACTGAGCAGAAGGACAGAATGAGGCTAGGGACGGCTTTCTAGTCCTTTCAAATATCCTTTGTTTTATTTGAAGTATTATGAATTCTCAAACGAGACACACCCATATTTAAGTCTGGTACAAATGGAAATTATTTTCAACATATTTCCTTTCAGGGTTATCCAAGTTTCTGCTCCTTTTTATGATGGTGGAAACTTCTAAACTGACTATAATTCAAAGCAATTATTGTTCCTTAGCTGTCAAGGTGCCCTGTGATTCTTTTCATAAATATCCTGGATGATCTGAGCCAAGTTCAATGGAAAGTCTACTTTTTCTAGCCCTGTGCCTTTTCACTGGCTAAATTTATAGCATTCAAATGAAAAGAAGAAAGGAAGGCCCACTTTTGCCCCCACTGCTAACACGATATCTGTCTGGGTTCTAATTGCCCTTGTAATTATACCCCTGGCCAGGTCTGTACAGGTATGGTATGGAAATTAAACATTATGGCAAAGCCTGAAAAGGCCTCATGAGGTAGGAAAAAGACAGCTTCATAAGATTTCCAGCCACAGGAAGAAGAGAAAAAGCAAAGGTGGTCTGAAAATGTCATAAGCTAGCCAGACAATCCACTGAGGAAGCATTTTCTGTCTATGACTGCCTCTAACACTGTGAGCTGTAAGGCTGGGATCCCCTGGTGGTTTGATATTCAGCTAAGGCTGGCTGAAAATGGAAGAATTGGCTCTTTTGGATGTGAATTAAGAAATAAGCACAGCTACAAAAGGAAACATGCTATGACATTTTCTAAATATTTACCAAGGGGAGTTGACAATTCAATGAGTGGAGCCAGATCTGACAGTGAATTCTCCTGACTGCCTCCTACACCTTCCCTCCATCACCATTTCTATCTCCAAAACCATGTGACCGCTGCCTTTTGGGGTTGTCAGAGCAAAGCATTTGCTACATTTACAGCCCACTTTTGCAGGGCTTCCTTTCTTCTTCTCATTTGATAAACGCAGCCAATGGTACCCAGTGACTCCTGGCACACAGACCGCTGCCTTTACTCTTCTTCCCCAGACTCCTGATCTAGGAGTAACCAGAGAGCTGTCCGTAAAAAACTGAGTCAATGCAATCTATTTTTAAGACAAAATACTTCTTTTTTACAGCAATACGTAGCTAGTAATATCCGTATGGTTTCGAAAGCCACATCCATGAACTTCCCTGCCAGTCCTCATTATAAAATCAAATTTCCCATCAACCCACACAGCACAGTCTTTTTCACTCTTGATCTTCGCAAGTCAATGTATAAATATTAACCTCTGCAGGTCTGAGATGATAAAAAAGATTATGGATAATGAAGAGATATACTTTTTATCACTTTAAACCTCCCACTGCTCATATGTCCTACCTTCTCGGATATTGGGTAGAGGGTAAAATTTTGTGTTTGATTTTGATTTAATTGACTGAGTTTAGATTAAACAGGTATTTGATAGTCCCAATAATTCCCTAAAGTCCTTTCTTTCCCCCACAGCCCCAGAAATGCTACATAATTATTGGTCTTGAGCTTTGTACCATCTCAAGATAGCAATGTGCATACGTATTGTGTAAAAATACAGACCTCTGTGAACCTAACAGGCAAGGTGGAGATTGTGGGACAGTTTAGAATTTAATGTCCACCTATCTCCAACACGGTTCTTATTTTTATTATTTTTTTTAAATATTTTTATTGATTTCAGAGAGGAAGGGAGAGGGAGAGAGAGAGAGAAACATCAATGATGAGAGAGAATCATTAATCTGCTGCCTCCTGCATGCACCCTACTGGGGATTGAGCCCACAATCCAGGCATGTGCCCTTCACCAGAATGGAACCTGGGACCCTTCAGTCCACAGACCTCCATCCACTGAGCCAAACCAGCTAAGGCTCCAACACAGTTTTTAAAGATTTCACTAAGATGAAAGCACTGAATTTTACAATGTATTCTCTCACAATCTCCCCCAAAGGAAAAACAACAACACTTCCAGTGGGTTGATAAGGCAGAACTTCAGGAAATCAACTCAATTTTGGCCTTGAGAGAGAGAGACAGAGAAGAAATGGGAAGAATGGAAAGTCTAGAAGGCATGTACCATAACTGCACATAAATAACCAGGTAAACCTCTCACCTTTAAGCAAGTGACTACACGAGTAGAAGGCGGGACTCAGTGACCTCCAAGTCCCTTCCCACTCCAATAGCGTTTGTCTCATGAATTTTTTATAGTCATCCTCTGTCCTATCACACTGTCCTCATGCATCATCAAGCCCTCCTGGCCACTTCCAGGGCTGAAAGGAAAATCTGTTTTCAAAAAAAATCCATGCTTTGACTACTGCCAAAATTACAGTTCTGTCCTTGAAACAATGACCTGAATGTAACGGGCAAGGTGACACACCTCTGAGCAAGTAAGTGTCCAATACCATCTTCAGGTAATATTCTAAAAAAAAACTTCTGATATCAGCGGAATTATTAGCCAAGGTCTTGAGAGTGAATGCTTGTGAAGCTAACAACCAATCCTACCACCAAATCTCTCCAACTTGTACTTCTGTATCCGCTGCCGAATGTCCAACTTTAAAAAGAGGGCGGAACCAAACAGCTGAGTTTGACTCCTGACCCCACCTCTGCTCAGCTGTGTGATGTGAAGCAAATTATTTAATCTCCTTCAACCTGTTTCCTCACTTGTAAAATGCTGATACTGCACTATGAACTACCTTGCAGAGTTACTGTGACAATGAATGGGATAACAGAAAGAAAACTCTGAGCATTCATTTACCATTCATTCATTCTCTCACTCACTCAACAAAGGCTAACCCAGTGTCCAGGAACCAGGCTAAGCACTGGTACATAAAAGATGGGGGCGGGGCGGGGGGGGGGAGCTGTTATTCTTTTTATTGACCAAAAACAGTTTGCTTCCGTAACTGTGGCAGAACCGTCAGATGTTGCCTTTAATTCAAAACTTTCGTTCACACCTGGTTTGCCTAAAATAGTCCTTTTTTAGTTTGTCAGATGTGATCCCAGGTGGGAGTCTGCCTCCTGCCCTATCTTTACCCCAAGGCCAATCTTCTAGCAGGTGTTGTGCTGGAGGACACCATCAGAACACTTGGAAGAAGCAACAACCAGAGCAAAAGGCGGTATCTCAGCTCTCGGCTGGGCAAGCCACTCAGGAAAACCTGATACGCCTGTGCCACAAAGCCCGCCCTGGATGCCTGGGAGTTCTCAGGTGCTTTCAGTTCCACTAGCAGACTCCCGAGAGCCCTCCGAGAACTGGGGATTAAGAGAACTGGCTCCTCCCCAATCATTGTGTCTGAGCCCCTGATAAAGCTAAGAGCAACAGCTAAGGGGTCTAAAGGCTACCTTTTCCTGATGTAGGGTTTACGGCTTTCAGCTGTGCTTTACTCGAGTTTGATCAAGTTCTGTGTACACCACCCACCTCTGAGGAGTCACCTGGCTTCAGGGCTGGTGGGCTCTTCTTCCATGTGAGCCTGCTATTCCTTTCCCTAACGGGCCCACAGCCTCCGGGCAAGGACAACCCTAGCCATGCTGCGTGCTGGGTGTTCAGTACACTTAATTTTTTGCACGTACAGAAAAAGAGTTTAAGCCGAAACCGGTTTGGCTCAGTGGATAGAGCGTCGGCCTGAGGACTGAAGGGTCCCAGGTTCGATACCGGTCAAGGGCATGTACCTGGGTTGCGGGCATATCCCCAGTAGGAGATGTGCAGGAGGCAGCTGATCGATGTTTCTCCCTCATCGATGTTTCTAACTCTCTATCTCTCTCCCTTCCTCTCTGTAAAAAATCAATAAAATATATTTTAAAAAAAAAAAGAAAAGAAAAAGAGTTTAAGATATTCTGGAACTCAGGGCTCCTAGCAAAAGAGTAAAGTCTCGACCTGGAATAGGAAATGACCTGCCTCAGGGCATGGGGGTGGGAGGTGGTCAAAGAGGGAATTCTTGAGTAAAATTCAGAGCCATCTGTGAAGCTAAGGGTGGGTGAGGGGATAATTTAGAGGTGCCTACAATTTTGATTTGCAGACGCCATTCATTCAGGAGCCACCTGAATCACTTTCCTCAGAAACTTAAGTATAGATCATGCCTATCTCAAGGCTGTGGATTTTGCATGGCTGCCTCTTACCGGGAGATGACACCCTAGCCTCCTGTCACGGGAGTTCTCGGTACAAAATACTGTCACTAGATTACACACACACACACACACACACACACACACACACACATCTGATGCATCTAACATAAACAACAACAACAAAACAGTGGCTTCTCTTTCATTTTCCTTCAGCGAGTTAAGCTTCTTATTAACTCCTGCTCACTGAAAACAGTGGTTTGGATATTAATAGGCTGTAAATCAAGGCCCTGCCTGGCGCTTGTTGTCACGGAAACGGTACCCAAGCCCACGGCTACTTCCCTACCCTTGGAAGTCTGGGCGAGTTGGTGGGAGTCGGGAGTGTTTTAAAACTCCTGTTATTTCCCCCACTTTCTGCTATTTCTCAGGGCCAAGTTGTTGGAGAAAGAGGGTCTGGAGAGGCGGCGAGAGTAGACTGGACCATAGCAGCTTGCAGGAGCCAAACTCTCTGTGGGAGGAAGGGTAACCTGGCCACTCTCTCCGCGCCGTTCTCCGCGCCGTTCCCCGCGCCAGGGAGCCGCCCCCCTCCGCCGCCCAGCCCTGAACTCCCTGCCTGGGCGCTGGGCTGCCCCGGGAGCGCAAAGCCAAGTTCCCCAGAAGAGAATCCGAGCAGCCCCAGGGCTGAGAAATCCGGCTACGGAGGCAGAGAGGGCAGCGGGAAGGTCGGACAGGCTAGGGACAGAACTCTCTTTGCCCCCAAGCCGGAGTCCTGGGGGAGGCAGCCAGGGACCAGAACGTGCACCCCCCTCACCGCCCTCCCAGTGCCCCCGGGCGACGCTCCAGGATCTGCTTCTCCAAAGCAAGCGCCCAGCTCGCCAAGCGCCTCCCGAAGCCCACGCGGATTCCCGCGCCCCGGGGAGTTCGTTGCCGCAGCCGTCAGGGCCTCTCGGGCCCCGTGCCGCCCCCAAGCCCGGCACCCAGGCTGGGCCCCCGCCCGGTCTCCAGAGCCCCGCGCGTCAAGCGCCCCCTGGGCCCAGCGCCTCCTCTGCGCTCGCGCCGCGCGCCCCAGCCTCGCGCATCCGCACCCGCACCCGCACCCAACCCCCTCGAACTGCCGGGCCCTCCCGGGACTCACCTGCGTCGGGGCTGTAGCTGCGGCCAGACCGAGCCCGGGGGCGACAGCGGCGGCGGCGGCGGCGCAGGGGGAGGAGGGCAGCGCGGGGCTCCTGGCACAGCGGCCGCCGGGCGCCTGGTGCTGCCGAGCCGTGGACCCGCCCAGAGATATAAATAACATTATCTGAGGAGGGACATTCCTGCCGGGGGACATCGCTGCTGCCGGGACCAGATAGTCCCGCGGCGGGGGCGGCGAGGCGGGGCCGCAGCCTCCCGCAGCGCCAGGCCCAGCCCCCAGGTCCCCACCCACTCCCGCACCTGCCAATCAGCCGCCGCGCCCCGGGGCACCTGCCCTGCCTCCGCCCGGCTCCCGGGGCGGGCCTCTGCCTCCCGGCGGGTAGCCCGGGCCCAAGACGCCAGTCGTCCGAGCCGCCGCAGCGCCTCTTAGTTGCTCACCTCCCCAAACCGCGCGCTACCCGAGCCCCCGGCGGCGGGGAAAAGGGTTTGACTCTGCAGCTCCGGCCTAATTCGTGCGCCGGGAGCCCTGAGTGGCTAGCCTGGCCCCGAAGATGAGCTCCCCAGCCTTTCCCGCCCTGCGTCCCCACGGTATACAGTCAGGTGTTATTTGCCAAAAGACACGCTTAGGCCGTAGGGTGGGCGAGGCGGGCGCCGGGGCAGTGCGCCCCCGTTGCGGCGGGTTTGGGAGGAACAGGTCGTTCTGGGGGGTGGCGTGTTTGCTCGCTACGCGCCGGGCTTCTTCCACGGTGGTCCGAGCAGACGCTGGGAGGAC